TTCTTAAATCAATGACGTCTATATTAAAAACATTTGCTAGTGCTTTAGAATTACTTTTTACAAGTATACTTGCATGGATAATATTTGCTATACCTGTTAGTATATATACATTTATTGCAATATTTATTGTTTCAGCTGCTGTTTATTTATATTCAACAAATCCTGTTGTTAATTTACCTAAAACTGCAACAGTAAATGTTCTAACAAATGCATCAATTCATATTAATAATGAAGATATGAATTCGAAAATTTCGAATATTGCAAATGAACAAGAACGACGTATAATTGTTTGAATGATATATTTTTATTTTCTATTGAATTTTCTCGAGTGTTTTTCTTGTTTTGTTTATTATTATTATTATTATTATATGCTATGGCATTTATATCTCTTGTTATTAGGACAAAATTTCATAATTACATTTTATTGAACAAAAAAAAATAGAAATTATGTTTTAATTTAAGTAATTGGAAAAATAAAATAAAATCTATTTATGATATGAAGAGATTTTTTCTATGATATATAGAGAATCATGATTGTTGAAGAAGTCGTTAACTTTGAACTTTCTATTTGTTTAGGTATGGTCTACATCAAAATCACATTAAAGTTCGATCGAAATAAAATCGATTGTTGTCAAACTCATACAAAATAAACGGTAGTTTTAGATGAGATAATGATTTCAATCTTTATAGATTAACCAAAAAAAAACAAAATGCTTAATCTATGAAAAACTTCGCTTGCATTAGATCCCAAGTATCTTCTACTTGAAGTCGCACGGAAAAACAAAAAAAAAGTCTTCATATCGGACTCTAGTCTACATTTGAATGTAGCTCTCATCTAAAATATAAACTCAAAAATACCTTGATGATTCAATTTAATTATAAATAAATTGTAAAATAATTTTACTACAGTTGCAATACATCCGTTTTGCCATCTGAAATGTCATGATATTCACATTCTTTACATCAAAATCATGACACAAGTTTTATTTGTTAAGTGACTAGGCATAACTCTCTAGTAGAAATGTAAGAAGTTGAAACAAACTAATAAGAGAATAAACATGAGTGTCTACGCAGAATTATTCTCTAAGTATCGAATTTTGAGGGTGTAGATGTGCGTGTTAGACAAGACAAGAACCCGACCCATCCTATCTACCTTGGCTTTAGTTATAAGAAAGTTATGCACATATAATAATCTCACGTGACAGCTAATGGGAAGTTAGTGTGCATATAATGTTGAGAAAAAAGTGTAATGAAAGCCGTAATGAAGGAACCAATCAGTCTCATATTCAAAAAACGTAAACTGTTTACTACAATTTTGCCAACTTCTGAAATTTACATGACAAGAAAGCAAATCGGTTATGTTTCATGAAAATAAAATTCGTGATTTTTTTTTGTGCGGTAGTAGACACTTCTTTAAGGAACATAATCTGAAAGATTAGAATTATTGATTGAAAAGAACTAAAGATATTGAATTTTTATGGCTGAGAATATAAAGGTAAAATTATTTCGCAATTTACCCATATGTAAAGATATATAAATATTGTACATGACTATGTATGTGTTTTGAAGCGTGACACTTCCGCTTATGATTCAATAACGCATATAAATTGTGCAGTACATATATATAGTATGTGTACACTGCGTAAAAGAACGAGATATCTTCTAATGGCAGTCCACGGAATCACTATAAGAGCACTTCGTCTCTACAATAACAAACAGCATGTTGGTATACTCTCTCAAATTGGCCGCCTGCTATACCAAGTTAATATTAAAGAGCAGCAGTGGACATTTGAACTAAACAATCCATCTGATCTTCGGATTATATGAAACAATGAACTGGTTGATAACATTGGGAAGGCTGCCAACTGGTTTACCGCCATGAAAGATGATCAATCACTTGTCGGCTGTTGTCGAATTGTCGATAAGAAATGGATTAGAGGAAAGAACGAAGTACAGCGCTATCTGACCAACGACATCCCTTTATCAAAAATGATTGACTCACTGTATCCATGTGTAGAGGGAAGTCGCACGGCTGTGGCCCTACCCTACCGTCGCTCATCGGTTTGCACACTTCTTCTGCAACACGCACTCAGCTACATTCATAGCACAATGCCCAATTATGGCGTGTTCACTTGTACTAGTAAACCAATTATGCAAAGAACTTTCGAAGATTTGGGTGGCGTTTGTATTGGCGAGCCATTTCTTTACAACCAGACAAGGTATACCGGTACAGCCCTGACACTATAAGCATCGCATCGAATCGTGCGGTACACAAGATGTATCAGTCAAATCAGCGTTGTTGGAACAGAGGGTGCAAATAATTATAGTTCAACAAATGAAATAGAAATGGTGTGGGGTCTGGGTGTGGATGCAGATGCAGATGCGGATTTGAATGTGGATCTGTTTTATTGTTCAGCACTCACGGGCACATCCCAAAAGTAAAATGTAGTTCTACGCACATGTTGAGGTGAATAATTTGAAATATGATTGATATTATTTAAAGTAACATGTAAATTATGCCTACACATCATAATATTCCAAAGAAAAAATTCCACGTATTATATAGTGATCAAATTAAGTTTTTATATAAGCCGATACATAAGAGCATGACATTTGTCGAGAAAGATATACTTAAAAAGTGTAACTTTCATCGTCCTGTCGTCTTAATAACTTCACTACAGCGCCAACTTGAGTGTTGATTCCGAGACCAGTAACAACCATTTGACCGCTACCTTCCATAACTTGTGTACCAGAAAAAAGTCGAATATCTTCGCGGATGTAGGTTGGGTTTCACTCTTCTCTTAAATTTGACCCACACCCCACCCCCATATCCAGACCCCACACCTTCACATCCGCACGCACATCCAATCTAGTTGACCTTGATAAAGACGTTAATCAATATTTATTACCATCCGATCTTCCTATTTCAAATCCATTCTATTCTTCACATTCAATTACTCTAGGTCAATTACTTTCACATTCAGTATCTATCAGGACGAATCAGGAAGTAGTACGTATATTTTTTTAAACTAATGATCAAACAATAACGAAGACAACATTAGCCAAAGTATATTTAACTTATTTGAGTCATAATACTTCAAATTGGTTGCCATATCCACTAAGTAAAGTTACACTCTATTCAAATATAGGCGTCACTTTAGCTGCATTGGTCGTTGAATGAGTAGCAAATATGTCTTATGAAGAACATATCAGAGATAAAATCTTAAAACCATTATAGGTGTTGGTGTTAAGAGAGCTGGCTTTCGTCTCTCCGATATAGGAAATTGAGAAAATTTAGTTGAACATTATTCTTTTAGTTCGTGATATTTACATGAATTGAGAGAAATGACACTACGATTAACTGTTACACAGGTAAAAATAACTATCTGTAACCACCATAACTTCTAAGGATAGCTCTTTAGATTGATATTCCAAACTAGCTTTATGTTTCGTTTTATAGTGTCAGTGACTATCCTGCTGGTCTTTTGAGAATGTCAGCTTCTTCATTTTCATTATATCTTCGAATGTTTATGCATAACGGAGCATAACTTCTTCGTTCTGAATTTATTATTGAAATGCAAACAGTTGTCAGTAGTGTAGTACCTTATAATAATATAAATAGTAGTAACAATGAATCTTCAGTTCCACCATTAAAATTTGGCGTTGCTTGGTATTAGCAAACTTTAGAGAATAGTCGTCGGTTGGTCGGTCATGCTTATGTGATACCTAGTGCAACAAATTCAATGTTCTTTAAGGAACAGTGTGATATAGAACTGATTATTCTTACAAATGCGAATATGTCTCCAAATGATAACTTATCAGAAAAGATCGGTATAACATTAAGCAACATTCAATTCACACTTTTCGACTGTTTTGAAAGTGCAATATATTCATATAGCAACGTTTAGGCGAAAAATTCAATATTTACAATGTCTAGCAAGTTATTTTTATTGATAATAACGTACGATGCAAAAGTAATGGCACAAAATGTTGACCCCTATTTCTCTCCGATAGGCAGGTGCTGAAAGAAATTTTTTTTTACCAAAAGATGGAACTTTCCGTCCTCTTTCAAATCGTATATAATTTATTTTTATAACACATTTGTAAACGAAACGACACAATAAAAAAACGAGACACCATCAAAACATATCCGCACTTTTCGTGGAATTTAGAAAAACGGCGAAAGATGTTGGTTCCTATATTTCTTGGATAACTCTTCAATAAACACGTTTTGAAAATAAAATTTTGTTATCAGTTGATACGAAATTTTCTCCTCTTTTGAACGGTGTGTGATTTATATTCGTCACACATGCGTGAGTGAAATGAGACAAAGAAGAAAGACAAACACTGGCGCAATAAATTTGCAACTTTTATGTGAATTCGTCAAAAACATCTTGCTAGACATTAATTAATTTGATCTTTCCGTACTCATTAAAAAGCCCTTGTAAAACTGTAGTTACTTCGCCTTTTATAAACTCGTTAAAGAAGCTTTTTAAAACGATAGTTAATTATACTTAACTATCATCCATAAGACGTTTTTGACTAATTCATATAACAATTGCAAATTTTTTGTGCAGGTATTTTTCTTTCTTATTCCTTTCATTCCGTTTACGAATGTGTGACAAATATAAATCATACATCGTTCGAAAAAAGGAGAAAGTTTCGTATTAACTGTTAACAAAATTTTATTTTTAGAGCGCATTTATAGAACAGATATAAGGATCGACATTTCGTGCGTTCTTTTACAGAAAAAGTGAGGATATGTTTTAACGGTCTCTCTTTTTTATTGTGTCGTTCCGTTTACAAACGTGTTATAAAAATAAAGTATATACGATTCGGAAGAGGAGAAAAAGCTCTATCTTTTGGTAAAAGAACTTATTTTTCAGCACCTGTCTATCGAAGAGAAATAGGGGTCAACATCTTGTGCCATTACTTTTGCATCATACGTTATATTCAATCTATTTTGAAAACGTGCGCATAAAGTTATGATCACTTTGTATTTAAATAACAAATGGATATGAAGCTCTTGTAGCTACACCACATTGATTTTTCTTATTTCGACTCATTAACATATATCCGTGAATGCCCCATGATGTGCTCCAGCAATTTTTAAATATATAATAATCATCTTGTCTTTGAGTACCATACCCAACAATTAAACCAGCAAAATTCAGTTGAGTTGATGAACAATTAGGTTCATTGTAAACTCCTGATGAATAGAATTGAAAGGAGCTATGTGATGCATCAAGCTCTATCGAAATAGGACCGATTTCTGCTATAGCTGCTTGAAGAGCTAATTCACTTCCAGATATAATATCGGTATATCCCTAGGATAAAGTAAAAGAATTATGCAAAAAAAACAGATTAGAACAATTTTATTAAAACTTACAGTCCATGTGACGCCTATTGTATTAGGATTGAAACGACATGGTCCCTTAACACCTGTATATGGATAACTTTCTTCGGTATCTAGTGCTTGAACTGTAACATTTCTATAACCATTACTCATCCAACCACCATTACAACCATAGTTGCCACATGATGGAAAACAATCAATAAGATTCTGCTCGGAAAGAGAAACGAGCTTTTTATAAATCTTCGCATGTTGACCCTCAAGTGCACCAGTTATAGAAAAAGCCCAACTAGCACCATATTGACCTTCATCTTTGATAGGAGTTACAATACCATATTTGCGCCAGTCTAGTTGTGATTTTAATAAAAATATACTTAATAAATTTCATACTTACCAACAGCTGATGGAAGAGCTTCAATTTCGCTAGTGGTAACGAATATTTGACGAGAAATCTCCGCTTTTTCTGGCATTCTGATGTTACTAAGAAGTTGTTTACAAAATTCTTCGTGTGTCTGATCAGAATTCGACGAAAGTTATGCAATGTTTTGCATATCAGTTCTTACTAAATCTCCAAAGATGTTCATGCTCATATGATATGAATGTATTCCCATATCGGCCTCTAGATTATGTTGGCGAATTTTTACAAGATTTGCTTCCCAAATGGTTCGACTTTATATATTTATATTGGAACAGTTTTCATACAGATATATATCCAATCTTACCGTGCAAATTCTTCTTCTACGGATGTATATTTTTTTCCGTGAACTCGTTTGAACACAAGCCATGAATTATTGAGACTTACAGGTGCACAGTGAATAGCTGTTGGTAACAGCAAGATATAATAAATAAAACAAAGTTTCATTATCTGAAACAATACTTTTTTTACAATAACAAGGGGTGTTGTGTATGTCTTTTATATTAATGTTGATAATTTATCTAACACAGTACAACGTAATCACAAAAAAAACGAATGCGTCATATTTGCAAATGATTACCTTATTATATGATGATATGTATCTTTGTATGAATGATACTGTCTTATGTTTATAAACTCATAGATTTATCGTTCGATATGAATAATAATTTCGAGTTTGAGCTATTATCAAGTAAACCAAAAATACCAGTATGAAAACATTAGATGAAGTCATATGTTTCTTTGATCCACTAGTTCATTACACTACTTGATCTTGATCATATGTTGCACGAAAAAGGGTGTGGGTCACCTCTTCATCACTAACATCGACACCGACACCCACCCACACGCCACATCCCACCCCCACACTACACCCACACCCACCCACACCCTATGATACATTCATGATTTATTTTTACAAATTTGCTTTGCAGTTAGACCTCTCGCACTGTTCTTCTTTCATTGATATGAATTAGAAAAGAATTGCACGGCCACGATGAAAGTTGATAAGACATTGCTAAAAAACACTGGTAGATAAAGAAAAGCAAATTTCAAAAGATATTCATTGTGACAACGCATATTGTTGGAAGGCAAGCAATACTTATGGCTAATAAAGTTCCTGCATCTCTTCTGGTGTTGTCGGTTGATATTGTCTATCGCATTTTGGACAACCTCGATGAATTCACAATGTTATGTTCAGCTCGTAATGTCTGTACGAGAGTCAATGCGATTATGGACACATATTATCGATATCAGGTAAACTTCACTTTCATCAAAAACGAAGATGTCTATCATCTTCTAGGTATCATCTAGAGTTCAATAAGTGGTTATTTTAATTATTTTTTTTGTTAAGTTTAAAAATTATGAAAGTTCAAGACTAATATTTTGACTTTCATGAATTTTACCTACAAGCAAGGAATTCATTGCTTTGTCTAAGCTGTTTTCAAAAATATTATTAAATTACGTACTCTTTTCATAAATTATTTTAAGAAATAGAAAGTGAAAGTTAATACATTTTTAAAACTCATCGAATCTTTTCGCATGATAGCTTTCCTTACTACAGTTAGAAAAGGAACTTCTTAAAATGATTTGAGTTTAAAATCATCGAAGAGCCCTAGTTGAATCTCATAATGTGTTATCCCACTGATGTGTTAAAAAATAAAATTGTAAGAGCTGTAGGAGCTTTAGAGACCCTAAGAATGCTTGAAAATCATAATAGTTATACAATCATCCAGTGAATCACAGTAAGGCCTTTTAGAGAAATATATTGAATCAGAATTAATATCAGTGTATTTTTACTCTGATACTTATGAGCATCTTTAGATAAAGTGCACGAAACGTAACTTTTACAGAAACTGGTGTTTTCTGAATGGATATTTACTTTAGAAAAGATAGATAATCTATCAGATTGATGTAACGATCATTGGATGCTAAAAAATCCTCAAATTCATGATTGTGGTTATATACAATGAAATTCCCTAACTAAAGAGTGCACAAGGGTGCCACAGTAATAAATTGTATGTTTGTGATGAGATTTCAGCATATTTAATCAATATTTATGCTACTTATATACAAATTTTGTGTGTCGAAATGCGTCTATATTGCACTAACCATTTACATGGGAGCTTTCATAGCATCCATTTCATTATTAAATAAAAAGATCAGTCGACATAGCGTGTAGATCTTCTTGCACCATTCGCAGTTGTGCAATCTATTGCATATAATGGTTTGCTCTCCATATCCATAAAGTAATGCCTCGTTAGGAGAGAGAGAGACTTTCTGAACTTACTCTCATCTCCAACATAGTTTATTGGGTTCTGTAAAGTCCATGAGTTTGAAATTTACAATAATCGACCGTCGCCAATCAGTTATGATGTTTAAAGTTGCTTTTTTAAGTGTTTTTATTTTTTCTTATGAGAAAGTCGAAAATATTTTCCATTAATATTATTTTGTGTTAGAGCACCCTCAGAGAGGTATTGGTAAAAATGAAGATGTTTTGTTTTTTATTCCTCTGGATTAATGAATATTTACTTTTTCAAGAGTGGAAAACATATCTTTATCGTCTGTAGATCTTGGTTGAAATAATATTATAAAATAAAATATGAGAGAAAATCTTTCAATTTACAGCCGATAATCACTAGATTTTATTGACTTAATCATAGTTCTAAACTGTATTTTATGACGCTTTCAAACTTCCATCTTATTTTACTTCTCTTTGTGATTGTTTCTATAACCGATCTATAAATATGTTTTTCAATAATGTAAGAACTACAAATTTATGAGTCTTCATATTCAATAATTCTTTCAACGATAATAAGAAACATGAATTTACGCCAATGAGTTGCCATGAAAAGTTTCAACACTATTTTTTTAGTTTTTCTCTTTCAGTCATATTTTGACATATTTTTTTAGCTGATATGACATGAAAGTAGTGCAGTTATTTATTGAAATTCGCTTCTACCACGAAAAATATGAGAAAACAGATCTCCTTTAGATAAACTTTGAATGCGTCGTCTAAAATTAAAAATGAACAAAACAGTATAACTATTCAAAACTAGAAACAACATCTATGAAAGAGAAAATAAATAATTAACATCTTGTATCTTTTATTATAACTTATTACAGTTTTGAGAAAAAAACATGTAGTTATTCGTTTGAATATGAAAAGGCCTTAGTATTCACATAGAATTCTAGTGATGAAAAAGATTTCTTACACATTGGCAGCTATTCGACTGCTGTTAATGAGGTTTCTTACTCTTTATTTACATAGAGCAATTATGAACTCTGAGAGAATCTGCTTGGCTGATCACTATCAGGTGTTCAAATTGATAAGAAGGACTATTCATAAAGATATTAGGGCAAAACTACTTTCTTGACCTCATTCGCTCCCAAATATCTATTTCAAAAATCTTTTTTTTTACAGTACGCTTCAATAAAGTAAAAAAATTCTGCGCATCTACGTTTATGCTTGATCATTCCATCTCTGACATGAGTGCGCAACAATTAAAACCAAACAAAAAGAATCTTTGCCACACAGTATTAAACAATATCATCCCATTGCATAGATTTCGAATATTTGTAATTTTAAAATGTCAATCAAACTATGCATACACTTCATTGATGCATCATATCATGGCACAAGATGCAGGAGATGATAGCCACGTATACCTAAACATTTGAATTATTCAATCACCTCTAATGTATTCCATTGATATTAGACTAGTGAAACCGAGCAATAGTGTAATAGACAATGAGCAGAGTTACTTAGAACTGTCTATAAACATTTCTGATTCCTAAAGACCACTTTACCGTCTTCTAATTATAAAGTAGAACCAGATTTTATAATTACTTCTTGGTATTAATGTTTTAAGTAAAGAACGCAAGTTTAACAATAAGATTTCTCACAATCAGTTGTCTTTCTACTATCAAATAATAGTGGAAAACATCGAATATCTTTTCTTCTTTCTTAGATAAATGTATCGATCAAAGATTTCACTAGAACGAATTCTAATAATAAGTTGACTAAAATATGATATGATGAGTTACTGGATAAAATCCTCATTGAAAACTTAGGAGTCATAAAAAATTAAAACTTCTGCTTAATTTATTTACAAAATGACGACTATAAAAATATTTTTGTTTAAGTACATAAATCATATGTTAATAACATCATTGACTACAGCTAACAGATTGAACAACATATCTATCCAATTCTTCTACAATAGACTTTCCAATTAAAATGATCAATTTGGGCTGATATTTTCGGGTATGAGTACCATAAGAAAAAAGCGCTTCTGTTACGAATGTTAGTATGTTATGTCAAACTACAGCACATATCCGGCTTATTTATAGTCAATTAAAAGGTCTCAGAAGAATCTTTATCACTTCCTCGCTACAAGAGATACAGAGCTTGCAACTGTTTCCACTTAGAACGAATATCTGTGAATAGTTCTCGTTCCAACAGAATTTTGAAACTTCCTTCTATGCATTTTTAATGCTTGTTTTAGTACATAGAGCAACAAAATAAGTAAACAAAAGTCGCTCCATAGCGCTAAATTTTGCTTTGTTAAAAAAAATTATTAAAATGATTGGTTCGTGCAATAATTTACGCTTATTTGCACATTTAAAAAAGAAAACATTAGTTATATTTTCAGCAATGAGGCAGATATTTCAGTTTTTAGATGGAAAACCATTTTCTGAGTAAAATGATAGGTTTTTAGATAGGAGTTTTCATTGAAACTCAGAGAGATACATACTAAATCGGCATTGCCACACTAAATGCAGGTGAAGTTTTTGAAAATCTGACACATATGAAGCAAATCAGCACTATTTATCGTACTTTTACATTGAATAAGTAAGTTTGTTCAGCATTAATAACATTAAAAAAAAGTTTTCTCAAAGGTAAAAAAATGTAAGAGAAATGGAAGCAAAGGGAAACTTCTAAGAAAATAAGACCATATTGTCGAAATCGATTACAAACTCACATCTTCATATTACTTTTTCACAGAAAAACTATATACTCATAAAGAGAAAACTTCATGCTTCTACCAATACCAA